AGTGACGGCAATAATCTTAAAAACGTAAGAAATGCAAACAGAAGAGACGGAAGGAAACTGCAAACGTTCCTACAGAATGTAATGAAAGCAAGCGAGAAGAAAAAGATTAAACAGAAGATGTAAGAAGACAGAATACATGGTTGTTAGCAAAAGAATGAGCCTAAAATTGTAATTACAAATCGAGGATAGAAAAGTACAAAATCTGGGGAGTCTTCTAACAAAAGACGGAAAGTGTAACACGGAAATCCGAAGAGGCATTAAGAATGGTGATTCAAAAGCTACGCAGAATCCTATAAATATAAGAGACAGGGAGGAAACTGCAAACGCTGTATTGTTTCAATAAGTTCCAAAATATAAATAGAAAAACTTCGGTATAAATAAAGCAAAGTGTACTGAACCGTTAGCTGATATCTATCCTATATGCCAGTGATTACTGGTTAGTCTCCTGAAAGGTGCAGAAGAGACCTGAAGTAACACAAATGTTGTTCTACAGAAGGGGATGCCATGGACGAGTTTGTTTATTTTTTTTAAGAAAATGGAAACAAAATTTCTGAGGCACATAATCTGGAAAGAGGGCTTGGAAAATCTGGTACTCACAATGCAGATTGAGGGCAGGAGGGACAGACGAAAACAAAGCATAACATACTTTATACACTTGAGTCAAAAGATGGCGGAAAAAGGGAAGAAGAGAAATGACAATTTAAATCAATTAAAATCTTCAAAGAAAGGAAATTTTAGAGAGCCATGATCGCGTACGTCCTGAGGTAACAGGGCACATAAAGAAGAAGACAATTGTTAATTTAATATTTCACAATTTACACACCGACACAAGTGTTAACATCTTATTTCATAATATACACATTGTCAAAACAGTTAACTTCATATTTCATGATTTTCAAAATGGTATAACTGTTAACATTACATTTCACAATTCAGCCACCAGTTCAATTTTCATATTTCACAATCTGTGCGATTATTTGACAAAGTTCGGTTATTGATCTCATTTCATTTTTCTTTCAACTTCTCTCTATAAAATGTAACGGCCATATTAGACATCATCAGTCATGTGTTCTTTATTTGATCATGGTGCTTACTTTTGCTTTGAATATTTGTCATTCCGAAAAGACGTTTTACATTTTTTCCAGGACACTTTTTCTTTTTGTTTCTCTTTTATGTTTCGAGTAGTTACCATCATTATGGCAAATAAAAAGACATTTGAAATATCTGAAATAAATAATGAGGAATGAGCATTTTGAAAATTTGACACTTACAAGACAATGAAAGGAGACAGAATCATCAAGTAACCAAATCAACGAGCTTGTGTAAAAAGTCGGCAAAACAGACACTAATGTAGAAAGTAAATCAACAAAGGATAAGAAATTGTGCAGAGCCATGATCTCCCGCGTGCTTAAAGGACAGTCCATAAAAGATACCAAATATATTAACCTTCTGTTGCTTCGCATTATTATTATTAGTAGTAGTAGTAGTAGTAGTAGTAATAATGGTGGTGGTATTTCTGCCTCGTTGCAGGTATCGTGGGCATGATTATTATCAATTAGTATTATCATAATTAAGGTATCTCCTCTCATTCAACCCTAAAGATTTGCTGGAAGGACGTGCTGTGTTGGGCGGGAATGCCACTCGAACGGAGGCGTTACTCTCTTAGAGGAGCGGTGCCCTTCTTATCTGTTGGTGGAATGTGGTGTGGCGGCGATCGAGGTGGTGATAGTGCGCGTAATAGTGACGATGCTTTTCGGGTAAGTGGCGTGGAATGCAATGAGTTGAAATGGTGATGATTCAGGCGGGGATGCTAGCAGGGTTGGTGTCGATGAGAACCACTTATGTTGATTCCCTAGAATCGCTCGCAATACTCACGTCTTTGTCTTAAGGGTTTTGACAATTATTCAAACGATGCTGGTTAGGGAGTGTCCAAAATTCCTCACCTCTACAATAAAAGACTACATTATACAACCATAAAGCAATACGACGCGTTCACACGCAAATGTTTTCAATGTCAGCCGGATTCGCTGAAAGAACTGGGGGAGATTTTGGTGAGAAGATTTGCATTTCAGCAATACCCCAAATAGAAAAGATCTATGTGTCTTCAAATTCACCATTCAAAAGATTCAATTTTATATAACGCGAACACTAAAGGATGACACTCTTGTAAAGCATTCGATTTTCAACACCACTGAGTAAGCACCATATACACTCACGTACGCATGAAACGTTTATATGAATGGGATATATATATATATATATATATATATATATATATATATGCAGCTAGTGAAACGGTTAAAAAATTTCTCACCATTTCTTCTGTGTTCCCTTCGCACTAACGACCTTGGAAAAGGTAGAATACATCTTATATTTAGAGATTCAGTTACAAAGAAGACTAATCTTGAATGTTTTGGGTAGTGGACAGTCGAAAAGAAAGACAATTCTGCATTCACCTGTGGGTCACCTTGCTGCTTGTTTCTGTAAGAGGATCGAGAGAGCGACTTGGAATGTGTTTAAGACCTTAGTCATTAAAAAAATACACTCAAGCACCAAATGTAAGTACATGAAGGGAGGCATCATTTTATTTAAAGGGTGAATCGTGTGTTTCATAGTATGTGCAGTTTCATGTACCCTTATAAAAATATTAGATCAGGAAAACTTGACAATACACGCTAAAACATATTTAAATTTCCGTGATGCTATATTACAAATGAAAAAGAAAAACAATACATCTACAGATTAGTATGATTGAAAACTGCTCATTGTGGATTCGTCATGTTCTTTTTTTTCTGTTAAATGTTCGCACAACACAAGCCTCCAAAACCTCTCAAGGCAGAGTCTTACTCAGTATGGTTATTGTAAGAACAAGAGGAGAACATAGGTGTACATTATGAGGATATGTAGGGTAGATGCTGGTTGACAATGGACTTGAAGCTGTTAAGAGTGTAATGATTTAGAAGAAATCCTCTAGAGTGTTTGTTTTAGTTTTGTACGTGACATGACGCATTTTACAGCTTTGAACTGGTGGAACTATGGTATGTAGTTGCTCGGAACTTTTGCCATAGAAATAGCGATGGAGTAGCGATAATCTTCTGTCATTTCGTCTGTTATGAAGGGGCTGTAATTTTGAAAATGGCCATTTCGTCGTTTGTTCAGACTCTTGTAAATATAGAGCATCTCAGGAAGAATATGGTATATTCTGGAGTTATACATGGATCCGTATCTTTATTGATGAGTCTGAGGTCTGAGGTGAAGACGTGTTCAAGACCTCATAAATACAACTGCTCTTCATGACTGAAGAGAATAAATGGGCTGCAAGTTGAGGATGAAACGTTCGTCCTTGGTCTGATGGTTATTGGATGTTTACACACCAGTTTTTATACCACTGACCTGTTAGATCTAGATCAGAGGAGAGATCAGCTCCCGGGTTAGTCCTTGGTCTGATGGGTATTGGATGTTGGACTTTGGAGGCGCTCATGGATCTAATGATCTGAGAATGTTCATGGGAAGATCGTTAATATAAAGCAGAAATCAAGACTGAGGGAAAAACTTTTTTTAACGCCTGAATTGATCTCATGAGGTTTATGTTAAGAGGGTAAAGAGAATAAGAAATATTTTTTTGTCATTTGCTACTCCACCTCATTCATTAGGCTCGTAACATGATCTTAGTTCATTAGAATTGCCATCGAAATATTAATCTGACTTTCCTCTATTTCAATCCAATTTGTTACCTGCCATTATATTCTTCGGGGTTACATTGTTTTAATATTATTATTTCAAGCCGTGCAAAATTTCACAGAATTTTCTACTTTGAATGCAACATATAAAATTATATTTTGAATTTAATATATCTCTCCGTGTCATTGTTAGAAATTCTATAACTCCCTGAGTAGATTATCGATTCCTCATAAAGATGAGAATTCGGCTATCGACTAAAACTGCCTCGTTTACCAAATCAAAGTATTGATACAATAGCTGTGTTTATCTTAAAGGAGAGAATTCTTGCGTTGCATTTTGAATGGATTTCATGCAGATATGGTCATGAAATGGAATCAAATTTACTTGATACGTATCATTTCAGAATTCTTTAATCAGAAGATTTTAAAAAGCCGTTCTATTCTATATAAAATGAATCCTTAATTTCCTCAACACGAACAATAGCTACCTGTTTTAATTTTAAATTCAATGAAAAAATTTGCATTAAAATTGCAGATTTTGTTTTCTCTCGCCAAAATATTTAACTTATTTTTTTTTTAAATGATCAAAGAGAATTAGAAATGTTATTTCTTTTATTATCTAAAAGAAACAACCAAAAACTTTACATACATTAACTGGCTTCAAATGGCAGAGGTACTAAATTCAAACCAAAAATAGTATATTATTATTTTTCCCCGGGCCTCAATCGGCTGTTTTATGAAAATGTAACAGTGTTTTAATATTTTAATGTATCCTACTTCTGATAACACTGGTTTCACAAACAGTTAATCAAAAAAATGTTAATGGAAAAAATAAACATCTATTTCTTTGATCTGTGTTGCATAACGAAATTTTCCACAATTTTTCTATTTTTTATTTGTTACGAAAAGCAGTGTCTTGGAGGTAAGATGTAAATATTTTAAACGAAACGACACAATTTCAAATCTATTTGAAATATTATTTAGTTCTTTTGACTACCGAATAAATTGGGTCGTAAGTGAACAGATTGAAAAATACAATATTACAGAGAGGGATGTTGATACATCCTGACTACATTATAACTTAGAGATTTATACTCAACCTCACCGAAGACATTGGAAACCATAGAGTCATTATGGACATTAATATTTTCATGTTTGTATAATATGTTATCCGTCAGAGCTAGATGCGATTTCATTCATTCAGCATTTCCCTTCCCCTTGACTGGTTGACAGCCTTGGCTTCAGAACACTATCTAATTTGCTACATACGGTATAACTGGGGAGATTTAAAAAAACACAACACAAAAAAAATGAAAGGTATTAAGCTAAAAGAACAAAATATAGGGATAGATGGACATAGATATACATTTGAGAAAAAATATCTAGCAAGCTATCAAGGTAGACAGAGAAAGAGAGAGAGAGAGTGATAGAAAGAGAGGTGTTCATATATACTTGCATACACTGATATTTATTAATTAAGACAATTCTTGCATTTTATATAACTGTTTTAAGTGTGTTTGTGAGATTAAAGTCAATAATTATATACTAGTTTGTACAGATATCAGTCATCAGTAATACTTCCATTAAATTCCCATAATCAGTCAATAAATCAAGAACAGCCTCCGTCATTGTCAAACACGCGGTTCTTCCATTTCATCCACAGGCGTATGTACTTGAACAGAGAAAGAATCGCTTTTAAATCCACAACTCTCATTCTCCTAAACAGGTTGCTTCTACTATTAAGCCCATCAGAGGGAGAATCATGGAATCTTAACTTGTCCACTAGTATTTGCGCGAAAGTGAATATAGCGGAAGTCTACTCGGCTTTCCGAGTACTCATTCCCAGTCGATATACAATACACTTCGGAATATCACAAAACTCCTTTAAAAACAGTTATTTTGTGGTATTTAGATGCCAGCCCACTCACAACTGGTTTTATTTTCTCCTACACTTAAACTGGATTGATCATCAATATCAGAGAGAACAACATGTCTTGTTATTTAATTAATAGGGAGGAGGAATTTGTGCGAAAGTAAATGCAATGAAATGGGACAGAATTTGAACTCAGCACAACAATCAAACTGTAATCGCCGACATCTGCTACTGTCCGCGCACATACTAAATATTTCAACAGTCGAATACATTTCTTTATCAGTGTATGCCTTTGCAAGTAAATATGTTTATATATAAAATTTAGATAAACGTGTATGTGTTTTCGTGTGTACAAGCCTTGTAACTAGTATCTATGCCTATCTGTGAACGTGTGTGTGTCTTGTGTGTGCATGTGCGATGAGAAAGTTTTCTTGTATTTGTTGATAAGGAAGATAACTAAAATTGAAGATGACGTAATTAAAGTCAAGTGTTTGCCGACGATGGCGACGAGGACATAACTTTCAGGACCACTTTTCTTGATAATTGCGACTGATAAAGAATGATGAAGAAGAAAGCAGCAACAGAGAAGGGAAAGACAGAATGAAATGAAAGAAAGCGAAATTAAAATATGCGATATAACGAGGAGGAAGATAGTAAGAAGGCAGAGAAAAAAGGAAAAGGGAAGTAAATAAATAGAAAAGAACAGGAAAAAAAAACAAATATAAACAAACATAGGAGACAAAAACAAAGAATCACATAGGAGGTGGAAGGAAATGAACGAATGAAGAAGAGAAGAAAAGGGATTGAAAAGAAAAGAAGTAGATAATGATGATTCAAGAGAGATAGAAATCGAATGAAAAAATAGATGAAATGTGAGAGAACAAAAAGAAAGAACTAAAGAAAGAAAGAAACAAAGAAAGTAATAAAGAATAGAAAAAAAAATAATTGATAAAAATAACAAGAAAGAAAAAATCTAGTCCAGGGACAACTGAGCGGTGAGTAGCGTCATATTAATGAACGCCGTGACTTTTCCTCTGAGAAATAAGATGACGGTCTCTCTAATTACCAAAATGAAGGCAAAGAAAACGAGATAAGAGCAGAAAGAAATAAACTTTTTTTTTTCTATTTGCTTCTGACGAACTGAAGAGCAAACATTGAAAACAAGGTTTTCTCAAGGGGATTCTTCTGAAAGCATCATTGCCACTAAGACGGTAGTCAGTACTATTACGATACAACATAGATGAGGAGCGGAAATTCATTAATAGATCATCAGATTGGTAACCGTGAGCTCTAAGTTCAGAAAGAGGACAAAATGATAATAAAAGTATTTACTTGTATTGTTATTTATTCATTAGCTTCATATCTTTTAAGATTGAATTTGACTGATGAAGATTTGACAATTCATTAATTGTCTCTCCATCGTAATAAGAGTTTCTGACAATTTTATTTTTTAATTCTTTTATTTCAACATCACAGCTTGTACTCAAAATATCTTGTGGAGGAAAGCTTTTATAAGGATATGTCTACATGCTTCGAAAATTTAGAAAACACTTGGAAGAATACAATAAATTCCACCCCAATTTTCTAGAGAGGATCTTAAAGGAATAAACTGAAATTCTGAAAAATCAAGAAGATTAATTATACAAAGGTCAGCTGAAAAGTTCATAGGCTGTCCAAAATATAAATGTAAGTTTACCCACCAATTACTGGACTAAAAGGCATGAAAATGCTCCAAAATACAATAGCTGGTCAGACGGTTGTTACATTCTGGTATATTTGCATGTTATTTTTAATTCTAACATCTGATTTGCCTACTTATATTTATATATTGGTCAGCCTATTAACATTTAGACGACTCTCGAAGTTTAATAACCGTCATTATCTCACTGACAGCCGTGCATATATGCAATCCCCGCAGCTCAAGAGTCTCGTAAGCCATAAGCTCGTACAATATGTACTTCAACCGGAGAGAAAAGATATTAAACACACACATACACACATACAAATACGACACACTCAGTAACAATGAATATTATTAATATTTGAAGAAATAAATAGATTTACAAAACAAAAGACTATTAAAAATGTCACCCCTCAGAAAAAAACAGTATAAAGATATAAATATTATAAAGAAAAAAAAACAAAATAAAATGAAAAATTAATAGCCACGTAAAAATATTCGAATATCTAATGGTCGGAATTCAAATTCAGAATATTGCATCACAAGTGAAACGATATAAAAATCAAAATACAAAATATATAGCAAAACAAAAATCAAACTAAACGCCGTCAAAAACATTTTTCCACCTTAAAGATGTCCAAAGTGCTTGATTGTAACTGGGCCAAGAAAATCGGATACCTCGTCTATAATCCTGATCTCCCAACAAAACCAATAAGCATAAAACACACACACATAGTCACAAACGTGTGTCTGTGTGCGTGCCTGTATGCATGCGATGTTTCAATCATATACATTGGCCTAAGAAACGTTTTCAGCCAGGAAAAATAAACTACCATCAATTTCAAAATGTCATTACATAATCCCTACTCAACATGAATAAACAGTATTTGGAACTAGTATAGAGTAGGTCCTCCATTTGCTAGTTTCAGTTCTTGTATTCGATTTCCCATGGATTTGATCAAGTTATCAACAATCTTCTGTTCCACGTTTTGCCACTCCTTCAGCAGTGTTTCTTTAATAGTTGCCACTTATGTGATTTTGGTTGCAGGCTCTCGATGTTTTTGGTGAAAGTACTCCCAAACGTGCTCTATTGGATTCATGTCAGAACTTTGGGTTACTCATGGCAGTAACTTTCTTTCCTTGTGATTCCTTCTAGGCCTTTGCTACTATGTTCGTTTGATATGGCGCATCATCTTCTTGAAAATGGTAAACATTCTTGTCATTCTGATTGTTTTCATATAGTTGGAGTGTTGCTTGCTCTAATATTTTACAGTATTTTGGACCATTAAACCGCTCACCAACAGCAATCACCTCAGATTTCCATCCAGACCAGACAGCACCCCACACCATTGCTCCAATCCCTCCATGTTTCACGGTCACCTGCATGCGTTCAGTATTCCAAGTCTCATTCTGATTTATCCAAACATAAACCTGTCTCGAATTCGAATATTGGCAGGATTTACTTTCATCTGACCAAATTACAAACTGCTAAAATTCATAATCTTTGCTCTGGAATTCTCTCGTCCATTCCACACGCCTGTTCCTAAAATCAAGAGCTTCTTTCTTGCAACTCTTCTTTGATAGCCTACTTCTTTCAGAGTCTTTCTCACCGCATATGACGACTTTTCCATGCGGTTGGCGACATCTTTGACGCTCTGACGACGGTTTCTGATGACTTCCATCTTCAGCGCCCTTTTCGTTCACTCGGACACGATACTTGGTCTTCCTGAACGTTGTTCCATACAACAATGGCCATCTTCATAAAATTTCTTAACAACCCTTTTATTATTAACCTGGAAAAACCTAGCAATTTATCTATTTGACTTGCCACACTGATGTCATCCTATTATTTGCCCTCGTTGAAATTCACCAATTCCCTTCCACGAAATTTCATTGCAAAATATAACTCAACTATCGTTCATAGATGAGAGTAGCTTGATACTAACACGGTATTGTCTGAAAAAAAAAGAAGAGACGTTATTACACAACCCAAAATTGCTGTAATCAAGGGTGGATAAAGACTTATCATAGCCCATTGTGTATACATATAGCATAGAAACTTTAATCGACATTTAATCAAGATTTTTTGCTGTTGCTCTTCGAAGAAAGCACAAAATGAAAACTGAATTTAACTTGCTTTTAAACAATATTATTAATTTTCTCGTATGACACGATAATATAAAACATGTTTTTTTTTCTTTTCTTTATAAATATATGTTACTTCATAACTTTTGTATCCTTATTCATATCTTCAAACCATATTTTCCTCTAATTCTCGATCTGGATTTTTGAGATCACAATTGTTTATAAATCTACATTATTTCATTCGAAATTATTTCTTTAAGGCATGGGTTTCCAGCAATCCCTTCAATGGGTCTACAGGAATCTTTTCCAACCAATACGAGGATTCTAACTACTACGGGCATTGTTGGTGTTCCATGTGCCACATTTTTGAGATATCGATTCAAGGTCGTTGTATTTTAATTCATTTATTATTATTATTATTATTATTATTATTATTATTATTATTATTATAGCATTTGAAACTTATCCAGCCTGTTTACATTTATGTCGATAAAAAAAAATTCTCGTTAGAAATATACAATTCCCTGATCTTTTTTTTATGTACTAATCGATTAATATATATTAAGCAAAGCATAGTATTAGTAACGCTAGCCGAAGACATGGCCGCGACAATGTATGTTACTTACATTGCAATGATTACTTGTCTTAAGAAAACATTCGAGTCTGAGAAAATTTTACACTTGTAATCACCTTTATTCTTTTTTGCTTGACTTTTGTCATTTCTTTTCTTTTAAGGAAAGTTTGCTTGGTTGATTAAAAAGAGAAGAACTGTAATTAAATTTTTATGCATCTCAGAATAAATTTCATACCTGGTTATCAATATTGCGGCTTTCTTTAAAACATCGTCAGGATGATTATGGAGGCCGCGTTTCAAGAAATTATCTACATCAGTCCGCATGAAAAAAGAATAGTCAACCTAAGTAATTACGCAAAATACTTATATTAGCAAAATATAATAAAGAAAGGGTAACTAAAACATTTACGTTTAGACAGTTCAAATTACAAGGTCTAATCAATTCTCGTAATTGTAGCGTTTTTCAGTCGAGAATAATGAGTGGTTATTAGAGATGTTTTCCCGGATCGTCTGTCAAGTAAGTTGCGTACAATCTTAGTTATTCTGTTTAAATTGCCTTTGCTTGCGTTCAAAACGAAATGACCACCTCGATTTTGAATGCTGATTTTCATGACTACACATCAATACATCTATGCTTAGTGTCATACAATTATCTTAACACAATAACTTGATCTCATTAAATTCTGTCCTATAAGGAGTTTAGTAAATATCGTTAATAATTATTATTTTTTTTGCAGGTACGTCAATTAAACCATTTTGTTTTTACACAAAACCACTTCACACTTCACCTTCATGGTATTTTCTGCATGTTTAACTTCAGTTATTAAACAGTGAATTAATAAAACCAGGAAAAAATAATAAAAAATAAAAAAAATAATTTTAAAAGATTAGGATTTCTTTTGACAATATCTGACGTTATGTGAAACTGGTTTGACATTCGTTTCTATATAAATACAATATTAAAAATAAACACATAATTTTGAGATTTTTAATTTAGTCTCTTTCATAGTAAAAGCAAGCAATAATTCTATATGAAACATATTTGTTTACAATGCAATACTGTTCATTTATCCATAATTTATAAAACGAATTGAGTGTAGCTGCATTTAAGGAAAATGATGCCCTCCAAGAAATGTCAATTTTCTAGCTATGTCGATTGCAGATGACATCGTTGTAGGCCGTCATTAAGCTTGCACAATATATGCCTTCATTCACGAGATTCTCTCAATAATGAAAACGCATATGCTCTTGAAAACACTGGCGAGGGCTTGAAAACGAGTGAAAGGTAAATATTCGATAGAATAATGATTAAATAGAATTTTCTGTCCAGAAGGAAGTCTCTCTAAGTATTTTTGGTTAAGCGGCCTGACTAGGGTTAATTCTCCCTTGGCTAAATGGCTCACGTTAAATGGGATTGAGTGTCTTTGGAAATATCTTAACCTATGAGATCAGGGAATGGCATGTGACTGATTCGACACTGTGATAAAATCTGGTATTGCTGACGTTATTTACGGACTTACTTTTATAGATGACAATATCCAAATGGTTCCACTGATTTTACCTTGGATGTCTACAGGAGGTTTTACGATAAGCATGTTTCTTGAAAAATGTGTTTGTCATCTTTAAGAGTTTTTGCCCATTCCCTTTCGTTTTGTTTTCTGTAGGTTCGTCTATATTTCAATACAAACAAATATTTTTATAGGAACACTGGTATTTAAACGTGATGCACTCCAGTAATTTACTGCGCTAAATATTTTGTTATCTGAGTTTTTTGCATACACGTCCATACATATTTACATATGTATATATTTTAATTATTGACAAGGAAAAAAATATATATATATAGATAGATAGATAGATAGATAGGGTGAGGCTGGTATTTGAGGATAGATTTTATGGATTAGTAAAAAAAACTTGCTGAACAAATGAATATAATTATATTTGATTACAAACAAGTAAACATGAAATTTAGCTAACTATTATTTAATTTTATCCAATAGAATAATCACTAGCATCAATAACGTCTACACGAGGTCCAAATCGGCTGCAGCTCTGATAAATTGTTCCTTATTTATGTCAGACATTACTCAAACTATTGAGCTTTAAGAGAGTCTTTGGTGTTATGGAGCTGTTTATTAACCTCCTTCTCATCAAGGCTCCACAAATAGTCTAGTGGATTGAAATCTGGAGAGTTAGGAGGCTAAATGTTGGGTGTGATGTGGTCGTATAAATGGTCAGCCATTCATTCTTGTGTTCGTAGAGCTTTGTGGGATTGAGCCGAGACTTACTGGGATGTGTATTGCCTGCCGTTGCATATGTTGTCAATCCAGAGCTTGACAACTTTTTCTAGAATATCAATGTAAGCAGCAGCATTTATTCTAAGACCTTGTGGAAAAAAAGCAAGGGCGGACTATCATTGTTGTTTCGTCCGTGTGTTGTTTGATTTATTGAAATTGTCATCTTTGATAATGGCCTATGTAAATCGAAAGATTAGATTGGATTTAAACATGTATCAATATGGTGTTTTCCTTTCGTCTTTCAACAATAATGTGTTTAAGCTTATCAGACAATATGAAAGGTACTTAAAATAAATAGACAAAACTTGTCTATATTATTTAATGAAACATGCATTAATATATATATATATATATATATATATATATATATATGTATGTATATATATATATATGTATGTATTTATATACATATAATTGTCTATTTTGCGCAGCATTCCCTTCTTCATACTAATTTCATTAAAAACACGTGTTTTAGTGGCTTTACTGTCTTGCATAGGTTGAACTTGATTAAACATAAGTAGATAGATAGATAGATAGATAGATAGATAGATAGATAGATATTCCCCGTGGAAGACAAGCATACCTGACAGCCGGGATGAAAAGAAATTAGTCCAACTGGACAATTAAGCAAGGACATATATATCCATACATAAGCGTCCATATTTGGAATTGTATATGATTTATTTTGCAAACTTACCAATTTCTCAATGAATGCTCCATCACGGTGTAAAATGAATGTCTATACGATTTAGAAGAGTTAAGCGTGGGATTGTTACGAAACTTTTTGTATGGAGCAAACAGGTTTCGAAAGGTTCCTATGTATTGTCATCAATTTTGTCAAGCTCACATGTAGTCAATAAAAATAGATTGTCAGATATAAACGGACAAAGAATTTCGAAGGCAAGACTTGAGTGAAATCGATGAATAGATTGAGAGACAGAATTATTGATTCATACATTCGGACAATGATTGACAAATAATTGCAGACATGCACAAAATGGACATACATGAATAGACTGAATTATATTTCGATAGAAAGAATTAGACACAATTGCCGACATTCATCCGTGGAGTTATTTTCGAATATCGAATCAGCGAACCAGGCTCAGAGTCCACCCGTGTCTGTTGAACTTATTCTTCACTAATGCACTTATAGGTCAACGTGCAGTCCTCACTGCACGTTGTGTTGCAACCAGAGGAGGGATAACTCTGAATTTAAAATTGCTGGTTGTTCCCGGAATATAAGAATGGATTTTCTTGCTTTTATACTTGGTCAAAGTATGCAGTGTTTTGATCCTCCAAAAATGTCCTTTTATCCAACTTTACAATGTAGAGTAGAAATAATGTCAAGTAAGTGTCTATGAAGCTGTCCAACTCCGTATTTACATAAAATATCTATATCGGAACAAGTAGTTCCTAAAAAGGAAATATTATTAAATTCGAGGATAGATAGAGAGATAGATAGATAGAGAGAGAGAGAGAGAGAGAGATGAGCACTGTGGAATAAACAAACACACACACAGACACACACACGCATATATATATATATATATATATATATATATATATATATATATATATATAAAGCCAGCTCTCCCTGACGATCCGCTTAGGTGAAACCTGGGTAGGTTTGTCTGGCTCACTAGGTTTATCTAGGTCAGCTCGTGCGAGAGAGATGAAGACTGAGAAAAACTAGATAGATATGAAAACTGTGGAATACACACACACACACAAACACAGCGTTATAAGTGAAATATATATTTGGCGTCAGATACGTCACTTCTCTCTGCGAGAAACTTTGATTTCTGAGCGTATAGTTGAAGGATAAATCATCCCTTTCGAAATCAAGGAAGCTTATATTATCTGAATATATTTTCCTTTCAAATACGATAAAATGTTTTTGTACATTTTAATGTGTTACATTACATTATATTTCACTTGCTTTTAAAATATTAAAATTTTAATTGGCAGTTTGTGAAAATACCACGTCATCCATTTTCATTTCAGTTAAAAAGTATATCTTCAGGGCGATGTTGTAAATAATAATCTAAAATCAGAAAAATGAATTAACTATTAATACTCAGGGCATTTGATGGGAATATATTTAGCAGTAATTATCTTTAAAGTTAATATTAAAATATATTTGTATAGTTTAGAAAAAATATAGAAATATAATAATTACATGTAATTATATGTAATCATCTCTCTCTCTCTCTATATATATATATATATCTATATATATATATATATATATATATATATAAAACTATATATATATAAAAACTATAGTTTTTACAGTATGCTACGTTAATGTGTAAAAAGTATCAGGCATTGTATGTGTGTATGTGCGCGTGTATGTGTGTGTAAATATGTGGGAATTAAGGTTAATACCGATTGGTCTTTTTTCATGATTGAGCGTAAACTTCGTGTTTTCTCTGTGGTAGCTCAACTAATTTCGATAGATAAGCTGATCAATGTGATATTATGTGTAGCGATTTCCGGTTTATTGAGCAAACAGTAAAGCGGAACGGTTATTTATTAAAATATTCGAAATGATATATATATATATATATATATATATATATATATATATATATATATATATATATATATAATGAATTGGGTTAATTTTTCTACCGTTTAACTTAAACGATTGGATTTCTTTAAACGATATTACATTATCGCTCTTGTATATTGTGAATATATTGGCATTTTTCTTTGTGGTTTTTTACAAGGTATAGGTTGTGCTATACACCCATAGTTCAATTTAGAAATTCTATTTCTGTTATCAGGATCGACATAAGCATGTGATACACCATTATTTTTGGTGTATTTTGATTTTTGTTTTCAAGTTGTCATAATAGGATTTGTGCATATATATATATATATATATATATATAGATAGATAGATAGATAGATAGATAGATAGATAGATAGATAGATAGATAAACCTAGTGAGCCAGACAAACCTACCCAGGTTTCCCCTAAGCGGATAGTCAGGGAAAGCCGACGACCCGCTTAGGTGAAACCTGGGTAAGTTTGTCTGGCTCACTAGGTTTATCTAGGTCTGCTCTACGGTTGTATTGAGCTCTTTTTTGTTAGTTAGTTGTTTACTCGGATCGGGTTTTTTTTAATGGGCTTCAAACCTGTATCTGTGCGATTTTTTTTTCGACAGACTTTCATGTTTCTAGCTCTTTCTATTTTTTTGGTCCTTTTTTTACTCGAGATTGATTTGATTGTTGGCAAATCAAAAATTCGAAGCTTTTTCGAAACGAGTATACTTACCGATATATATATATATATAATTCCTAGAAACGAAATATCATCAAATTCTAGGATAAATAGATAGAGAGATAGATAGATAGATAGATCGTGCGAGAGAGATGAAGACTGAGAAAAACTAGATAAATATGAAAACTGTGGAATACACACACAAAAACGCACACACACACAAAATATATATATATATATATATATATATATATATATATATATATATATATATATATATATATATATTGTTTCTAGAAAAGAAATATTATCAAATTCTAGGATAGATAGATAGATCAAAAGAGAGATGAAGACAGTGAGACAAACTAGATAGATATGAACACCGTGGTATACAAATACACACACAAACACACATATATTTATATCTTGAGAGAGATAGAGAGCGAATGCTCTATGAAGAGAGTGAAACAAACTAGACAGAAAGAAAGAAAAAAACAAACAAAGAATTAGGAAGACGGCTCTAAGAATACATATATTTGATATTTGTTAGATTTTCTTGCAAACGATGACTGGCGGAGACATTTTCTTAATGTCATCTGACATATTCGATATATAGTCAAAGTATCTCAGTTCGCACATTTAAAAGTTCAGTTTCCATACCATTACACTGATTCGCCGATCATCAAACTTCAACGCACACATAGACAAAGAACTAATCTTCTTGAAGTGAATTGATGATGACCAGTGTCTTTGGCTATCAATGCCAACAAGAGACATCGCTTAGAGTTGATTGAATAGATGTGCCTGTTGAACAAAGGAAATGGCGCAAGCAAAAGCGACGTGGAAATAAAGAACAGAAAGGAAACAAAGATTTTCTCGTTTGAATGCTCATCAGTTTCATAGCGTTTTCAATTGTTGCTTCATCAGGAATGGCATTGACAATTGTGTGAATCTTCTCCTTGCCCTACAGCGAATTTATTTCTGAGGTAACAGTATATTTAAATTATGCAAATTTAGAATACACTAATGCATTGACTACTGTATGATTTGAGAATCGGATCTATCAGGTGATTAAATTTGATTAATTTGGTTAAATTTAATACCATAAAAGCGCCTTCATTGAGAGTCATAATCTCTAGTGTCTGTTGCTTTAATTTCGTAAAGTCAATAGTAAAACACAGACGACGATTTCATAGTTTAAATTTGGTGACTTCGAACTCACATCTCAAAGACAATCGAATAAGCCTAAAGTAATCAGCATCACATGCAAATTTATAGAAACATCCTAAACAAGGTGGACTTAGATCTCAAGAGAATTTGGCGTTCACATGAAACCTTAACAGAAAAGTAAGCGTATCGGTTAAGTATTTGTGTCAGAGAACAAACTAAAAACTTAATTTCATCGCCGATTTTTATCAGAGATGAGACACGGATGAGGCCTGCTCAAAAAAAATTGCAAAATACAATTCTATATTAATCAGAATATAATTACGTATATTACGCACTCTCTGTATGTGGTACGTCGGAAATTTCCATCGCATTTGAAATAAGCAACACAGCTTGACTGAGTTTAACATATATTCTCTCAAACTGGGATTCATATATTGTAATGGTTAAAATAATTTCATAATAATAATAATAATAATAGGTATTATTATTATCATCAATATTATTATCATTAACTCTCTATATTTCTGAGATGAGTTGAGTTAAAAAGAAATAACTGAAACTGAGGCATGGTACGTGGATTTAGAACAACCAACTCCGGTGGACGAAATAAAGGCTGCGGTTCGAAATTCCAATCAACTGAAGAAGGCTGAAGCGTACAACGGCTGGTACGTTGTGAATATAATAACACTGACGTTGTGATGACAACAGTCCAAACAATGTAAATAATAATAATAATTATTATTATTATTAGTAGTAGTAGTAGTAGCAGTAGTAGTAGTAGCAGCATTGCATTATCTTCTTGTACAGAGTTTTTCGGTTACAAGCAGATATTGTGCATTATGGGTGTGCTGCAACTAGGCGTACAAACATGTAAGACCTTTCACGAAATATTTTCAGAGCCAAGCAACACAGATTTCTGAAGCGATCGGTTACTAGGATTTATTCCGATTTTCTTAATATAAGTTCAGTGACATAGACCCCAACGACTCAATGATATCTGATTATTGTCGTTGTTGTTATTGCTATTATTTCACTTGTCATGATGCGTCATTACTTTTGTAAATATCTTAAAATCAACAGTGAAAAAGAATGGTGAATCATTTTGCAGGTTGTAATTCATGCGCCGTGACTGCGTAAATGATTTACTAAGCAAAGTAGTAAACGGGCAATATTTAGCTTTCTGATAAACCTCACACTCGAAGATCATCCGTTGTAAACGTTCTTTTAATGCAAACTTTCATTAAACTTCTTCAATTTGTCAAAAACTCTCAGTATTTCTCGTGACAAGAAGAAAAAGAAATAATCCGAAGAAGGAAATTAATTTCCTCGTGAATTCCCATCAAAGAATTTGGAACAAAAGAGATGGGAAAGTATAATCCACTTAATCGAATTGTTTCAAATTAGTAATTAGTCCACAAAAGTTTAACAAATTGAAAAATAGTTGCCATCACACGACATCAGACGAATTTAAATCTTGAAAAACACAATTTATTCAAATATTGTTTTGTTAATCATCTTAAGAAACATAGTTTTTCCTCTATTAAACGAAGCTGCAGTGAAATGAAATTATTTATAGAAAAGGCAGGGATAAGCTATATTACGGCCGTGGGAACGTGACTGAAGGCGAAATGCCACGTCAGGACCGATGACATTGCAGATTCTCTTTTGCATTTTATAAAATATATTCAAAGTAAAGACGAATGTTACACTAAATCGGTACGCAAGAAAATTGTCTAGCACGACACAGTGAAACAACTTTCCTAATATCAAACCTAGTGATCGTTTCAATATAATCATTTCACTTCATGTCAGCGGAAAATATCATTCAGAGAAGGCGCAATGAGTCACTCTCTTAGGGGTTAGCATCAGTCATACTCGCTCATACTATTAGAAGAGAACAGTTTCGTTTTTACTATCAAGATAACGATAAATGGCTGTGTCATCAGTATAGATATCGACTTGAAAACTGATACCATCAAGATGAAATTTAAGAACAACCTGGGTACAAAGATAGAGCCTGCATTAATACAAAAATATCTAGAATAGATGCCATTAAGGATAACTTTCATTTCGCAATTTGAAATGAACGAATGAATCAATTCAAGAATTCATCCAGAAATATTATAGCCTTTCAACTTGTTGTGAAGTCACCCTGGTCCTGCTCCCGTGCTATCCTGTGGCGATCTAACCCTTGGCTGATTCGGATGGAAATCTGGTTAGATTCGATATCAGCTTTGTCGTTCCCAGCTCGCTTCCAACATCTGGTTACCGAAGTAACTGCTTTGATTTCTAGTCTAACCTACCCACGTTAGGAGTTGATCTTAGGTAGACGAATCAATCAGGTGTCGGGCCGTAGTGCAAGCCGAATCCGGGGCAAAGGTGATACCGCACGAGTATATGTAAAAGAAAATAAAGTAACAACTCAAAGGATTCAAATGTGTTAAAAAAGAATAACAAATATCTTTATATCTGTTTGCTTAATACTGGACTGCGTATTTCTCCCTAACCGCTTCTATGGATTCGTGACACTTTGCGTTTCTTAGACGAGTCTTTATATCTTAAGTTGCTTTTCAATAAACTGGTTTTTGGTATTTTCAGGCAATATTCTGAAAACTTGTTTTGGTGGTGTGATTATAAGTCGTTCTTAAAAAAAAATTGTTTTTCGTTAGAAGTCGAAGTCGAAATGAGTGCAAATCTTTCAGTCAGCACATGCGAGGCTGGTATCCTAGCACACAGCTCAACTGCAACTCAACTCTGTGACTCCAACTGTCGCCTAATGGACTTCTCCAACTGTGACTGTCTCTTGGCTCTGGGAACGTCAGTTCATATCGACGCCGACCAAAACAGAGTGGGGGCCTGTCGTGGTTTGGGTTCCTCGATAATTCCAAATCCGCAATACGGATTTTCTTTGCTTTCGGACAGGAAAATTTATCACTTTCCATTTTTGGAAGTCAATTACTTTCTGTTTTAGAGGGGTTCTTAAGGGAATTGTCCTCCTAAATTCTCCATTTTTCATATTGGTATCTCGCACCAATCCCCTCAGAGGGCGTCAACAGATTTTCCTTCTTATATGTTTACCTTCGCCTATCTCTCCCGCCACCATTCAGCCAATGAACGCTCGGCAGTGTGGGTGTGGCTAGACTGGCCTCAGTTTACAATTATCGCTCAAAAAAATTATCTTCCTTTTTCTTTTCTTTCTTTTCCATCGACCAGAAACCTCGCGAATCGTACTGTAAACCTTAAATCTTTATCTTAACATGATGTCATCTGGGATTCATTAATGGGATTTTCGAAGAGTTATTATCTGGGTAGTCAACTGAATCTCTTTGTATTTCTCAACATCATCGCATTCTGTCGCCAACAGTCTGTCCAGGTAACAAACTTTTATCATGGCAAGTTCTGGACACACAACAGGTGGCTCCCTTTCAAAAACCAAATGATATCCCCGAAAGATAGTTAATGGCTGATTCTTTTTCTTTTTCTCTTCTGCCTTCCTTTTTCTTTTGGGTGGTCTCACCTAATTTTTTATCGGTCGCATGCTTGACCCAATTTTCGATTATCTTCTAGCATTCTGCTTTGTAAGCCTCTTGACCAAATTGAAATTATCATTATTGCCATGGGCAGATTGCTATCTTTTACCCGTATTCTGCCTTTCCTCGCCGCGTCATGGCATGAAATAATTCTGACAGATCAGAGATCTTACGAATTTTCAATCTTCTGCGAAAAAAATACCTTTCTTTACCCATTTTTCTTTTGCAAAAAAAATAACATCGCTCAGTATGTCTTTCGTTATAGCTTCTTCTCGCCTTAAGTATTTCTCGCTTTTAATTTCCATGCTTAATTAGTAAGCCAAAAGCTAAATAGTGTCACATTGTGAATAAGACCAATATATCAAATCCTGTCAAATACTGATCTATAATTATTGTGAATAATTCTGATATTTCAAAGCTTTCTACTCCGAAATTTTCACCTATGAATCAACGTTATTAGAAAATTGGATTTTATTTCAACAAAACTACATTAGCAAATTTGATTTAAGTTAAAGACTTCTTACATTTGACACTTCTTAATTAAGAAGTATATGTGATAAACTGAAATTGTTTTTCTCCTATATTAATCTATATTCACAGAGACATTTTCCCTTAAAGTTTAATATTAGCGCCCGGAAATTATTGGAAGTATTAAAAAAGACATTTCAAATGCTTCCTGAAGAGAAAACTCTAATTTTTTTTTTGTTGCTGACGCTGAAAATTTGGTCGAGAATATATTAAAGGTGATCCACGTTCTTGAAAAGCTTAACGAAGCCTAACAGTCAAAGAATTTGAATCTGGTAATGATTCAAACCTAGGAAATAATTAGAAAATAACTTTGATTCCTATGTGCTTCCCAGAATATATCCAACCACTATTAATATTTAGAATATCTCTTCATTAGTTTTTGTACTGGTTTTTGTGGGAAAACATCACAGCAGGAAAATTTGCTAGGCTTCCAGCTCAGATTTACTGTTCGAACGCAGGACGCTTCAGGCCTTGAACGAAACGAATAAGAACGTGACGAAACTGCAGGTCGATATAAAGATAGAGGATTTTCAAACTGTTGTGGAAGAA